GCTCCTGTCTCCATAAGGTAAAAATTCCACCTCACCAGTATTCACCACCATGTGTTGGAGAAACCACCTGCACATTGTGTTCACGGCCATCTTCGTTGCAGATCCGACAGCCTGCTTCGTGATCCGATGATGATGATCTGCGTGTTGTTAGCGTAACAGGCGACTGTTACGCGGAAGCCGTTGCTTCAGACGGTGTGGCAAGTGAGGTCAATCAGGTTATGTTACACAGCAAAGAGGCAAGGTCGGATCCCCAAATACGCGGATAGTCATGTTTTAGGGACAAGGCAGCGTTTTTCTCATTTTCATTCGCTGCGAATGACCGTCCAGATAGCTCTCCAACCACCCGGCGGATATTTGGAGGAACGGAAACTTCTTAAGAAGGGTAGAGTACTACACCACATTAGAACAACGGCTTAGGTCCATGAGTGTAAGAACTGTTTCTTCAGATCGCTACATGACATGCAAGACTCGGCTGTGGTAATTAAAAGAACTGCCTCGCATTTAAAGATAGTGAAGCAAGCACGAAATATTGTGAAATAAGCTCACTTATAACTATAAGTATGTTTTTTTTAGTGCAAAAGGCTGCGCTAGACCCCACAATTTATCCACTTGGTAAACATACTCTTCAATACGTCATTGACTTCATCATCGCACCTTGTACAACATTGGTTGAGAGCCAATTTTGAAAAACATTATTTTTCAAGATCTGATCCGAACCCTTTGAATGAATGGATTTCTGGGATCCGAATTCACGCTGATGAATGCTTGTTGTGTGGGCCCTGACCCCTTACCATCTGATCGCGCAATTCCAGGCATCGGCAGAACTTAGTGGCGAACCGCGATGCTCGGCACGGTCCGTCCCGCCCTCTGACGTCAACTGACCTTTAGCGCGACCGCTGCCACCGGCCGCTGGTCATAGCTGTTGGGGACAAATAGCGAGCGCTCAAAGCGACTCGAACCCACGCCACCTCGCGCGGGTAGATGGGAAGGCAGGCACCCTAACCAACTGAGCCACCGGAACAGTCAAACAATTCATCGCCATTGTATCTGAAAATCGTGCTCACAAGGGCCAGGTTATGAAAGACTCGACGATTGTATTTTTCTTGGCCTTGATCGCCAAATGGCCAATGGAATGGAAGGATTTCAATGGCGTTTCATGATTTCATATGTGCTTGGTGACCACGAAATAGCCTACACACAATAATTTACTCATTTTCGCTGCCATGTAGCTGAGAAACTAGAGGGGTTTAGGTGTTAAGAAAGGCAAGGCTGCGAGTTGCACGGAGCGATCTTCAAGATGGCCGTTTCAGTCCAAAACCCCATACAAATATGAAAACCCGCTTTAAAAGATCGGCACCTGTCGAGGGACGTTCCACGAATCCGTTGCACCCGTGCTCACACTGAACAGACGGACGTTAAACTCTTGCGTCCCGATTGGCGGAAGTCCGTTCTCGGGGTGATTGAGGTGAGATATGCATTCAGTTCGCTTGGAGTGAAATTGACATGTTGGATGGATGAGCTCCATCTGGGTGCTATAACAGGTTGTAGTGAGCGGTACATCAGTGGATGTGCACCACTGGTGCGCTGCACCACCAAATCTTGAGTCCCTTCCAATGGCTCGCTCGACCGCCTCAGCACGGTGTGGGTACAGCTGCCTGCACGTCACAAGATCACCGCTGCTTTTGGGAGTCCTGCACATGCCAGAAACACGTCTGCGCGTGTACATCTCTGTTTTCAGCGTCGTTGTCACATTAGCTGTGATATTTCCTCACTCACAGATGGCAGCGATGGGATGCGCAAGCGAAAGTCCTATTTTTTTTTGCCAAGTCAAGCTTTTGTTTTGTATTCGAATTCGGTCGAATAGCCTTCGGTTGAACATCATTGGCCGATTTATCCGGGAACTGTGTACTCCAGCGAAATGTACACGCCAGCTGATGTGTCTGCGTCCAGACATCTGTGAACTAGTGGTCAGCGAACTAGGTGAACTAGGAAGCTAGGTGTTGACAGGGCTGACTGCCATTGACTGCTGATGCTGATATCTAGAAAAGAGTCGGATGAGTAGTGGTAAATGTTCATCTAGCATCCGCGCGGTTTACCCGAAGTTTATGCGTGGAACCCTTGGGTCAATCAGCTTACGCACAGTAGTGCCCCATAGTTCACACTGGTTTTCAGTGTTCTTCGGTTGCGTGTGCACGCGTCCCAGGTGAGCCAGGCACATTTACTTGTTGTCATGCTGTTGCAAACTCTAAACGATCGTCGAGCATGTGCGCAAAAGTCTCACGTTGTTAACAGACTATGACCGCTACACTGAATGGTGGGAAAGTACTTATGTCGATTATGCCAACGCAAGTGTTGTATCTGTCGACCAAATATTTTTGAGTGACGTCACCTTTCTCCCTGTCAAGTAGCACAGGTCTTGTGAGGTATGCATGGGCCATTTCACATCAGTGATACAATGTACCAAAACTGCTGTGATTGCGTGCCTGCCTGTCCATGATTGACTGGTATGCTTGCCATTAGTCATTACCATTCAGACAGTACGTCAACCTTTACAATGTCAACGTTGATGCATAATTCTTACATGAGGAATGCAACTCATGTGAAAGTAGCCATAGAAAACACTAACTGATTAAAACGGGCAGACATTTGTCGCATCGCAATCACAAATTACGAAACAGCAGAGACGAGGGTATTTTTCCTACAGCGCGTTACGTATTCGACTTGTTTGCGATGCAACCGACTCCATGGAAAAAACGCCAATGCAACATTCCATAGTCAGGTGAGATAATTATCCCAGTGTGAGGCAGGCGGTACCATTTGAAAGGGTCCATGCGGAAGTCAATTCTCCCCTTCCCCAAAAAACGAATGCCCGCGTGTTCTCCAAAGCTACCGCTGCATATGTAGCTGAAGGCCTGTCTGCAAACATAAAAATAGTTGTCATATTCGCAGTACTTCCGTTATGCGGTTGGTAAGAGTAAAAGCCTGTGCATTTCTCCCTGCAGGAAATAAAGCCAGAAGCGTGCGCAGAATCTCACTATGGGGGTACAACTCGCCATTGTCAATGAAAGCTCATTTTTGTCGAGCTGTAGGCGCGCTAATCTCCCTTTTTACCTGCCATCGTATTTACTATACCATCATCATTATTAATTTTGAGCATTCAGTAAAATGCACATACAAGGAAGTGGTCCAGATTTCTATGAGGTTTTGAACTGAAATAGGCATTTTGAACATCATTCGATGCAGTTCACAGCCCTGCCGTTCTCGACTTGGGTAGAGCTGTCAACAAGACTTGAACCCCTCAAGTTCCTGAGCTACACATCCGCGAAGATGGGGAGACCATTTCGGAAGCATTTCGACGTCACCTTAGAATTCATGACGCCATAAAACGTCGTTCAAATGCCCGTGTCCCATAAGCCATGCGGCGATCAAGGCCAATAAAAATATGGCTGTGTCGTTCATATCGGACGTTCGTGAGCACGATTTCCAGGCATGACGGCCGTCAATTGGCATTCCATCGATGTTGTGCAAGGTATGATGACGTATTGAGGAGCATATCACTTAACAGAGAAATTGTGTTTCTAAGCAGTCTTGCCTACTAAAAAGAATAGCGATAGTCATAAGTGAACTTGTTTCATCATATCAGATGCGTGCTTCATTGTCTTCAAATGTAAACCATTCCCTTTAATGAATGTGAAAACTGTAAAAGATGGGGGGGGGGGGGCATGTGACTGTGGTTCCCCCAGAGTACACCCCTGAATAAACTGCGCCCTTTGTCTGCCGTAAGATGAACAATGGCCTACTTGAATATAACCGTAAAATTACTGATTAAAAAAAACAACATGATATACTGCCACGTAGACGATTGTTCCGGTCATACGGCAGCTGTGATTTAGTACATTGTCGTTCGTCGGAAGCGCAGCTCGGCGGGGCGCGGTGCTGGATTGTTGGATTCCCCGGAAACCCTCCGACGTGTTTAGTGCTGAACGACTATTACGTTTTTGGTGTTTTTGAGGCCAGACATGTCCTTGATTCGTCTTGGCGTGCCTCGAATCAATGCTGACTCAGCAGTTTTGGAACCCGATTAGTGATGCGAATCCGAGAAATTGGTTACCAAAGTTAGTGAAACCGGTCTTTGATTTAGGCCATTCTATCTTGCTGATTCAGATTCAGATTCTGAATCACGAACAGAAGGGCTAAATCAGAATTATGGAAGCAAAAAAAAACCCCAGATAATAGTCAATATTAAAATAAAGCATGCGTCATTCTGTTGCATTCAGCGACTTTTTAAGATATGTAGCAGTGATGTTTACAGCCACAGGAAAGTTTATAGGACGTAATATTACGGATGGGAATCCACGTCGGCGTAAGGCTATTATTTGGCCCGCTTGTGAGTGTGACAGTCAGTACAAACTGCAGCCTATCAGGTCGTATCAGCCTGTTCTTATGCGCAAGTCGCATAAGAACAGAGACCATACACATGATGGGTATTGTGTTCATGGCATGACCCCATCTATTCTTCGCCCGACTTATAGTTCCATAATCGGTAGATGTAAAAACCCAGACTTTCGTGGCACACGGCCCGGTCGTAAAAAATGTTTCACGTGCTTTCAAGAGCCAACAGCGTCTGTCTTGTGTCAGTCATATTTAAGGTTTAAAGTGAACAGAACTCCTCAAATTGCCAGTGTCTCAACCACAGCCTTTAGATAATTAAGAGAGGCCTGTGCTGCAGCATGACCATGTTTGTCTCACACGGAACATAGACTCCACATGGGCCCGGAAATCTTGCTTTTGTGCAGTGTGAAACGTCTTGTATCGTTTTGGTCCACGGGGTAAAACTAATCATTCAATTCATTAAACAACCCATCCAGTATGAAGACACAATTGAAGTGAACCAGGCTCATGGATGGAGGGCGCATCAAGGCAGTGCAAAGTCTCGTAGAATTACAGACGCTTGTCACGAACATGGGCTTCAAGCGTTTGGCAGGAACCCAAACACAATATGGAAACATGACGACATTTATGCCAAGAACAAGCAGGAAGCAGCATTCCTTTCTCACGGCCTAGATCGCTGGGTATCATAAACACGCGAGCATTATCAATACCATGGATACCCGGGTACAGCAGTAAGACAAGCATATTCCACAATGATCTGGATTCCAAAGTCTATAAAAATTTATTTCATGTTACTGGAACATAACGGAAACTAGCGAGTCTTGAAGTGGCAGAGCATATTTGGGATAAGCTGCCCCTGTAACCAACCAGAATGTGCGCACTGATAGGGAGCATTCATTGCATTTGAATCACATCCACAAGACATTTTGTCAACCAACAAAGGGAATTCAACCAAGGCATTGCAACAGCTATGTAAACAAAAATTACGCCAGCTACACGCGCTGCACATCTAATCATATCACTCATGTAGGTGGCCACTTGGCGGCCTCAAGCACTCAGTGCTCTCACATCACACTGCACGAGATGAGCTACCACTAGTGAACAATGACCATTCAGCAAAACACAACGACGTAAATGTTCCCTTATCCAAAGGTTGGATGAGGTTGGCTCCACTCGGACGAACACCCATCAACATGCACCGATATCACCAACGTGCAGATTTGGCACAGATCCGCAGTGTGCACCCGGCGCCCACCCGGCGGCCGCCTGCTGCTCCGCCGCCGGACTACGGCCGCCGGCACGCCGACCCCCTGTGGCGGCGCTCCGATCGTGCGCATCTACTCGGGCAGCAAGTCGTCTCCAATCTCGTCATCCCAGTCGTCGTCGCCGCCCTTGCCCTCCTTGAGCATGCGCTGGTGCATCGGGCCCAGCGGATCCTTGTACTTGGCGTCTGCGGACGCGGGTCAGAGGTCGGCGATCTGGTGAGAGGTGAACACGGGTCCAGGGGCAGCGCAGCCGGCGGCATAACCAGGTTTGCCCGGGCCACTGGCTACCGGCCAGTGAGTAACGAGGTCAACGTGAGAACACATAACGGCCTGTAACGAATTTCTTGGCAATGCAGATCTGAAAATATGATGACTGGCAGGCAGGCGAAATCCGGGCTCGAATGGAAAACAAGTAACGATAAAAGCAATTCGAAGAAAGTAAGTCACAGAAAGCACTCGTGAAACGAATGCCATGGATACCGCGGTCAAACGTATGGGCAGCGAACGTTAACATAAGCTCGGACACCGGCTCACTCGTAGTCAAGTGCAGTGATATTTAGTATTTGTGCTGTGTAAGGCCATATGCCATATTTCGATGTGTATGGAGCACGGCAGGATGGCGCTTGGGAGAGAGCTTACTTACTGAGAGCCGAGAGGGATTTCTAAACTTGTTCATTGGGAGATTTGTGAAGGATGCCTTGTATACGCATCCATAAACAGACCTGCCGCATAACTAACGCTTTTCTCGTCACTGTCCACTAATGTCATTGCACTAGATTTATGTGAGACAGTTTGGCTGACACTCCGTCATGTCCGACGTTGGGCGCCAGTTTGCCGAGCCGCGGGTGGGCTCACCGATCTCCTCCTCCTGCGGTGGCGGCGTGCCCCCGCCGGCGTCCGTCGGACTGGGCTGCGCCGTCGCCTGGGTCAAGGACGCCGACGGCGTTCTGTCCATGCTGGTCGCCGAGCCGTGCAGTCCGGACCGATACGACGCTGCCGCACAGCCACGGGATGCAGTCACACGAAGGCAAGGCACTGCACAGCTACGCGATGCAGTCACACTACAGCAAAGCACTGCACGACCACGGGATGCAGTCACACTGCAGCAAAGCAATGCACAGCTACGGGACGCAGTCACACTACAGCAAAACACTGCACGGCCACGGGATGCAGTCACACTACATCAAAGCACTGCACGGAAGAGTATTAGTCACCGATCCCAAGTGTGGTCTCGAGATCACACACACTGATCCCAAGTGTGGTCTCGAGATCACAGTCACTGATCCCAAGTGTGGTCTCGAGATCACAGTCACTGATCCCAAGTGTGGTCTCGAGATCACAGTCACTGATCCCAAGCGCTATTCCACCTGGGGACATTGCTGTCGCCGGCTTCTACTGGCTACTCCAGGCCCGGCACCCGGCGGAGACCCGCGCCAGTCTTCGTGTCATCATTTATTCTCCATACGAGACGACAAACAGAACAATCATCAGTTACGCACCGTTCGCATCGTTAGTTCATGACCCGGGGCAGATCTTTTCCGGAATTTCCGGAATTTCGGAATTTCGGAAAGCGGAATTTCCCATGGCTCGGATCCCGTTAACTTTTCTTTAGGGCTCAAACGACTAGGCTAATTAACTGTGCAAGTTACTGTTACTGCTCTTAGGCCAGTTACTGTTACGAATTTTGGGTCACCTGCCAACGTCCTTCCCCGGGTCACGCACTGGTTACGCTAGGCGAAAATCTTATGCCCTGCCCACGCTTTGTTCAACGTAACGTCCCAACACGTGACGTCCACTTGCCCCTAATTCAGCTAGAGGTGAAGAACAACAAAGAAATTTGTCGCATATTCACAGAGTGAAGCAGACTGAATCAAAAGCATGCCACTATCTTATTTTCCATGGGGTAACGCGAATTATTCGTGTTGTCAGTGTGATTCGATGCCTTAACACGCCTTCAACCGTAATTGACCTTCAGTGTGCCACTCCCGTGTACAATGAAGACACTGGCGCGGTCGCAAAGATCTGCTGGCATTGAGCGGAGGATTTCCAAACTCGACCTAATGCAACCCTAACCGCGAATTACCGTTTCACCACCAATTACTCATGACCAGCAGATTCATCTTGGTTCATGATATTCGGGTCTCGTGGGTGAAATAGACTGGCAGTTTAACCTCGAACGGCCTTTGCAAGAAGCACAGATATATCTGCAGGTCATATCACGTCGCACGTTTGAAACCGCTGCATATAACGATGCGCCGCATGCACGGCCGTGAATGAGCTGCAGAGTGCAGATTTTCAACTTATTTGAGGTGCATAGGGTACGCAAACCTGGTCATATCGCCACTTTTCAGCAAGCAAATGTAATTCGACTGGGTCCAGAAACGTGGTAAACGTAGGTCGGCCAAGTTTCATCAAAACCCACCGAACGGTTCACGTAGAGGGATGCATCACTTAGAGGGATGCATGGAGAAAAATCGGAATCCGCTCATATTTGGTCGGGTTTTCCACCAGATTAAAATTTGCACTGTGAACTTTACTCAGTTTTCTCATGCTGCCTGAAGTGCTTTAAGATACCTTGTAATAGTGTAGGGGATAGGCGGAGTAGGACGACGACTCCCGCCGAAGAAAACAGACACTAGGCAAAGCTATGTTATTGCCCTCTCCAAATGTTATGTTAGTGTCCACATTTAAGTTCTCGAAGTACGCTTTTGTTGTTTTCGCCAATACATTTTCAAAGCGCTCATTCCATTTTCCGTATCAATAGTCAGTTGTGCGCACTAGTCGATGGATGGTGCACAATGTAGAAATTCAAGTTCGTAATTAGCAGGCTGGATCCAAAAGTTGCTGTGAGTGGCGTATGTCCCCATTATCAAGTTCGTTGCTGTTTTCGGTGATGCACCTCTCGCTCATTGCACAACGCTCCTCTTAATCGCCGAAAAACCGATGCTTGGGAGCTGGCTTAATTTTCGCTCCCACGCTAAGTTGTTGGACCCACCAATAAGGGGAATATTTCGTGTCGTAGCTTTACGTAAACACACTTCAGTTGGATTATGGTTCTATGAGTTTGAGGGGTTTTCGTATTAAGCATACAAAATATCGCATCGCATCGCAGAACTGATCTTACGGCCGCGGGCTCTGCCGGGGAATTGAGGACGGGAGCCCGACCTAGAAGATTTCGACACCATACCCAGGAGTATTGTGTGAGAACGATCTTGAACATCAGTCCAATTCCGAACCTTTGAATTGGTGACGATCCCCCTGTCTACCCAGCTGTCATTGACGTGCGTGGTTTGATTCTGCATGGCTGAAGACAATCTTGGAGACCTTTTAGGCGATCGTGATGTGTAACTTAGATAAGCCTCCCTATCAAGAGACAATGCTGGCATAGTTACGTCAATCAAAAGAACACAGCAAGGCTTAGAATAGAACAAAACTACCGTACTGCGACATCTCATATAAGCAAGGAGAGAAAAGAACTCACTTCCTTGTTTCTTCATTCGTTCTTCCCGATTTTCCTTGGACTTTTCGGCCCGTTTGAGCTCGATGGCGTAGTCGGCCGCCTCGGCCAGGCCGAGATCCGTGCAGATTCGGACCAGGAACTTCAGACCTGCCGTAACATGAGCGAAAAGCCGTCGGATCAGCACAGCAGAAGAGACAGGCACATAAACGAGGACCTACATATCCACAGCGCCGGAGTTGATATCGCTCACACGCCGCAGCAGACCGTCTTTCACGAGGCCAGGCAGCGGCCTCCTCCCTTGTGTCCCCAGCCATATGTTCAGGGATGGCGGAGTCCCGCTGGGCATTCGCGCGGCGCCGGCCTGTACGTAGTGACATGTCCTGCCCCGCGCCGCCGGGCCATACCCCAGCGCTCTCTCACACTCGACGTTGTCGGGGAACTTCATGTGGATCTCCTTGTACTTGGCGAGCGCGCGCTGGTAGTTTCCGGCGCGGCGGAAGCAGGAGGCGATCATGAGGTGCCACTTGACCTCGGCCGGCTGGATGAGCGTGGCCCGCTCGAAGAACATGATGGCCTTTTCCGACACCTGGTGTTCGATGTAGTACGAGCCGAGCCAGTCGATCACCTCCAGGTTGGACGGGTAGAAGCGGGACGACTGCCGGCGGGGTGGCGAGACGCATCAGCCGCGGCCTAACCGTGTCCCATGCATTGATGCGTTGGCATCTGCGACAGTGACTAAGGTACAGGACAGGCCGAACTGAGTGCATCTGGACACTGTCGCCGCAGGGCGCATTCGGCCGAAGGAAAATTATTATACGAATAATTACCCCTCCGATAATCACTAAGAATATTCTCCATTTACACTCGGCAGGTCAGGAATTCCACAGATTCGTCTCCCGTGCGCTGTGCGTCGACGGTCATAGCCATGCATAGCAAAAAAAGAAAATAAAAAAATCCGTTATGTGTGTCAATCACCATGCTCTTAAAATCTGTAGGGTTTCTCCTCGGTACCGAGAACTACCGCGGATAATTTTCCGTGTTGGCAGTGCCGACTGTCATTCCGGAAGTTTCCCAACATCCCGGATAACTGTCTGCGATTATCTGCCAGCCAAACGCCTGCACAACACATCATTGCCGGGAAGTGTGGCTCCGTGCGACCGCAAATGCGACAGGCGACTTCTCTCACATCGAAGAAGTACTGGTAGGCGCCCTGCTTGTCGCCCTCTTTGTCGAACAGGGTGCCCAGGTGGAACAGCGTGTCCGGGTCGGTGGGCACCAGGCTCAGCATCTGCACGAACCTGCCGCACGCGCCGACCTAGTCAGAGGCCCGTCCGCTGGTGCCCGTCAGACTCCGTCTGGTAACGCCCGGCACCGACACGCCCACACGGACCCATCTCCAAGTCAACGTACGTGAGGCAGATGTTGCCGTTGGGACATTAGCCCGCGTGGCGTTATTCATCATCGCTAAACATCATCTGTACACCGGACGTCGACCAGAGCCTGCACGGACTGCCGGCCGCGCCGACCCGCGGCGGCGACACCGCCCGCGGCCTACCACTCAGTCGCCTGGTCCACGTCTCCCAGCAGCTCGAAGCAGCTGGCGATCTGGTAGATGATCTGCGGGTGTGAGCGCACAATGGTGTGCAGCTTCATGAACGCGTCCTTGGCTTCCTGATACAGGCGCAGGCGCTTGTTCACGAGACCTGGACGGACGGGAGCGGAACAACCCGAATCAGAAACTTTAGCCAAGCTGATGGCGACTGAGCCAGTGGATGGGATTAATCGGTCACAAGGCGCCAGCACCCGAAGATCAAGGGACGGAGTCGAGATCGGCATTGACAGCAACGTCGCATGCATCCATAACCTGCGTGACAGGAATTAATATATGGCATCAACCCATCACTGTTTCTCGCAATGCCTGCCCAGGCACCAGAGCATCACGTAAGTGGCTACTGTATTTACCGAGATTGTAGAGCGCCTGCACGCAAGAGGCGTCATTGTCGAGGGCGCAGACGTAGTACTCCTTGGCCTTCTCCAGTTCGCCCTTCTGGAGCAGACAGTCTCCCAGATTGACAAGAGCCGGAGCGTTGTAACCGTCAGCGTCGCGCGCCTGCTCCCCGTACCGCTGCGCCTCCTCCCACTCCTTCCGCTGGGGCGCGAGGTAACGGTGTGTCAGGCGGGCGGCACAGGTGCCGGCAGCCATAGCGACGCCGATGGGAGTCTTGCTCGGCTAGCCATATCGCCCCCATACCCCGCCTGACATAAATGGAGTGGAGTTCGAAAACCTTTACCCGATGTTGATGACGATGGCATGGCACCAAAGCAATGCAACCCAAATAAATCGGTATGAAAGCTAGGTTTTGCTGTGTAATGTGGCGCAGTAGCGGTGCCGCACTATAACTGAAATTATGTGATGAACCATAAACGTACGCATCTAGCCAGAAAGTACCGCAAGTGCAGCAAGGCAACGGGATACCACCTACCAGAAAATAGAGAAAGGCCAGGTTGGTGAAGGCGTGGGACGCCACCTTCGTTTCCACCTTGTCGAACACTTTCAATGTGTCGATCGCGACTTTAAAGTCCTTCCTGCGCAGGTGCATGACGGCTTTGTCGATCTCTAGATCGCTGGCCAGCTCGGCGTGCTGTGAGTTCTTCAGCGTCTCCACGCACCTGGGGAGACGGGCCACAGCCTCCACCCACGGAAACAGGCCATTCTGGGTGTGGCCGCCCGCTGCCCACCACCCGGTCACCACGGATGGAAACTGGCTGGAAGCCGCGTATGGGCCGGAGGCGCGGCAACCGTCCTCACACATGGCCACGGACCGTTCCGGACGACTCTTCCAACCACCGGGCGGGCACCAGCGGCCAGCCATCGCATAACTGCAACATGGTGTCAGGCTGCACCAATGTAGCCAGAGTAGCGGAGGGAGCGGTGCTCCTCCCGCCGCTCCAGGCGTCTAGTGCGGCCGCCGTCCCGTCCGGACCAGTCAGCGGCTGGGGAGCGCACTCGGCGACGAACGGACGGTACAGCGGCGCGCACAGCCCACGGACTGGCCAGGCGAGGACATCGCCGGAGGCCGGCGGCGGCCGCACCTCTGCGCCCGCCCGTCGGGTAGACCCTCCCCCCCCCCTCACTGACCAGTCGTAGGCCGCTGACACCTCGTCGGGGGTGTCGCCGGTCGACGAGATCAGCTTGGAGGCGGTCAGGATACACTGCTCGGCCTCGTTCCGCAGCCGCCGCTCCTGTTTGCGCATGGGGTCGTTCTTGATGACCTCGAGCACCAGCGACGTCTGTGGGTCCTTCTCTGCCTCCTCCTGAGGTCGGAACGGGCAGCGATGACGGCCACACGCCGCACTGATGGGCGCAGTGTGACGCACGAGACGGCCTGACGCCCCGCGACGGCGAGGTCTCCGGCATCAGCTGCAGCTGCAGGTCGCATGTGCCAGGATAACAGGTTCAGAGGACGCTCAATCCATCCTAGTGATACAAACTTCACTTGTCTAGCTCATTGCACCTTTGTGTGTGTTAATTAAGAGAGCAAACTAGCATGCGCAAACTGTGTTCATGTGCACTGCTGGATCGGCAACTCCCATCAAGCATAGTCCCCCTGGTGCAGTGGAACGGGGAAAGTCAGGCGCAGCCTGCACGCACTTCGAGATCTTTATATTTAGCTTCCTTTTCCATATCGAACGGTACTTTCAGGAGCTTCTCGAAGGCGTCCTTTTGCTTCTCCTTTTCTCCCATGGCTTGGAAGCAGACCACCAGGTGCAGGCCTGCCATGACACACAAATATCACCGAAAACGCCAGCTGCCGACGGCAATCGGTGACCTTCCCTTGGTGGCGGGCAAGCATAGTCTGTTCACAAACTGTGCTGAGGCTCGGTTTAAAGCTACATTTAAAGTCATGCGAACAAGCATAGCAAGTCCAACAATGCCGCAAAGACACGTCTTGCCTTAGTGGCACGCAGAGCAACCATTGCTTATCTATCGAGTGAAAGTGCTAGCCGTGCAGTAAGACAGGAACAGACGGATAAAGCGGCGCACCGGTCTGGAACGACGGCTTCTCATGCATGCAAAACTCGAAGCTGGTGATGGCCTCTGTGTAGTGACTCATCTTCACAAACAGTATTCCAATGTTGTGCATGATCTTGATCCTGTGAGGGACACCAATACATATATTTGGATACATTCTACAGGCCCGACATTACTCAAATCGCGCCCACACCTTAACAAACGGGTTATATGTTCGTGCTACGGAACGCCTCACAAAGCTTAACCCTCGTTGGCACGCGGTATGGTTCTGTTTCAAAAACACGACCTCCTCGAGCAAAACTTAAAAACTTGACGGCGCGTAATGTTAAGCTCTAAGCAGCAGCATTTTTCGGTGCACCGTGCAGTTGACCTATCCCACCGGGTCAAACGAGATCACATCGCGTTGTTGGCGTTTCTGAGTAGCTGAGAGCGACAGTACATAACCTTGCATGACCTCAGTCAAGCTAACGGGTGCTGACGTCATGCCAAGACCCTCCCACTCATTGGGAACCAATCAAATCAATATTTTCAAGTAAAAGAGAAAAGAAGCAGTACACAGAGCTAAACATATATCAAGGGGCGCCAGCTGTCCACGTTTATGCGCTGCGAACCTTTGAAACAAGGCCATCAGTTATGACTTGACGTGGAAATAAGTTAACGCTTTATGCTGAAGTGATCTGGTGTAGGTATGGAAAGTCGCTTGTTGCCGTAGTCTGCAGGTGATCACATTATCTGAATTTAGCAATGCTAAAACACAAAAAACGAGATTGTGTTTGATTTATTTTTTAGTTAAGACAAAAGGCGCACACTTACCACAAGCAAACATTGAGGGGTGCTTGGGTTGAACTATGATCACAATTGCAGAAGGAAGTTGGATACTGCTGTCCTTACCCTTTCATAACATAACATTAGGCATTAACATAACATAACATAACATTTCATAACATTAGGCATTACAGTGCTTGGTAAAAATTGTCGTCTCTTTAGGCATTGCCAATGACAGATCTTGTTGGTTTGGCTCGTAAGGACTTTGTATCGCACCTGAATGTTCGAACGCCGCGCTCCATGAAGGAGTGTTGCATTCAACGAACAAGCGTTTTGGCGATCACGGAAGCATTCAACTTTCAACAACGGAAGCATTCAACTTGCCCTCGCTGCTATCAAAACTATTCCGAGCTATCACATTGTTTTGCTAACAGTCGAGTTTCCTTGTAACATTGGACCAATTTGTGAAACATTGCGTAGGCATGCATCATGCCGGTGATAATCGCCAGTCGCCCGTATGACTGGAGTCTGTGGGGTCTTGGGAGACCCCAAAGGAAGCTCAATCACTGTGCAGGCTCAATAATGAGGATCAAGAGTTCAAAAATGTTGAGGAAGAGCCGAAAACGCACCAACACGGTTTCAGATGCAAAAGATCCTCACATGCAGGTTAAATAAATGTACATAATTGTCTTAAAACATACTTGGACGATTGTTGACCGCTGGGAACCTGGTCCAAGGCCATGCGATAGTACTTGAGAGCCTTAGGATACTGCTCCATCTTATAGTAGATGTTGCCCATGTTCACTTTTAGCCTCTCAGGGTTGTTGAAGCTCTTGTTCTTTGTGATCACGTCGTACGTGTTCAGAGCCTCCGTGAATAGCTCGTTCTTGGCATATTGGTGCGCCAAATTGGTTAGCACCTGAGGAAAGTAGCAAACCAACGTGAACACCTGCAAATACGGACAAACACGGACGCGTTTAATTCATGCACATACAACTCTCATCTTCCGCTGCTAAACTTAATCGATGCGGGTGGCCAGGAGAACACTAGCCGGTCAAGTCCCAACTAGCCGGCAGCTGCCAGCTGTCCACACGTGGCGGCAGGTCACCTCGGAGGTCGGCCAGCCAGCACACAGCGACAGCAGCAGTGATACTGACCAGGAAGGTGAGCTCCATGTTGTGCGACTCCATGAGGCCGGCCTGCTCGCGGTACCGGATCAACGTGCGCTCCTTGGCCGACGCCTCCTTGGCCTTGTCGAGCGCCACCTTATCGTCGTTGCGGCAGCTGGCCAGGCACGACTCCTCCACCAGGTCCATGGTGCGCAGCTCCAGCTGGCGGATCTTCTCCTCGGGCCTGGCGCACGGCACGGCGACGGGCGCACGATGCAATGTCGGTAACGGCGGCCGGCGGCACGGCACGGCGACGGGCGCGCGGTATCGGTAGCGGCGGCGAGAGGTGCGTCAGGGAAGCCGATGGCGGCTTAGGACCGGGAATATCGTACTGACCGACGGTGCGATGTCGGGAATGATGGTCGCCGGCCCAATATTGGGAGCACCCCCGACGGTACCGTACCGGGACTTCCAGCCGGAGGTACAGTACTCCTGATCAGCGCTAACGGTACTAGAAGGTGCGTAACATCCTGAGGTGCAGTATCGGTAGCAGTCGGCGGCTGTGTAGCATAGAGAATACTGACAAGATGCGACGTACGTGTCGACCACCTGTGTCTCCAGTACGGGCTTGGCGCTCTCCAGACCCGGGGTGCCGGCTCCTGAGGAGTACCCGGCGCCCTTGACGGCCGTCATCGGACGGTTGTCGTCCTGGCTGGCCCGAGCGACGGCTGTCATCCCGCGCACCTGTCACATCCGCACGTCAAGCGCGTCATGCGGTCACATGCTAGACCTGCCACACAGTCCGACCAGACGGCCTTCATGACACGGAACTTTCATATTGCGGACCTATCGCACCAAGAGGCGAGCATGGCGCGGATCTGTCCTGCTGATAACTTATCTGCGCCAGGCGGTTGTGTCATCGACTTGTCACGACGTCAATCAAACATCCACCAGTCCTTTCTACCCGTTTACCAGCCGTCTATCCGGCATTCTACCGCAAACCAAGTGCACAGACACGTCGGGGGCCACACCAGACATGATTGCAACCGGACGGAACGTCAGCGTCCGCCGGTGAGGTGTCACCGCCATGGCACACTTCAGCCAGTCGGTGATGGCCTCAGCACCAGCTCGGCGCCGGCGCACCCGACGTTGGCACTCACGCCGGCCGTGCCGGGCGGGGCGGCGGTGCGCAGGCCGGCCCGAGCCTGCGTGCCCGGCCGAGCGCCGGCGGCGCCCGTCGCCAGCCGAGCTGTCGTCTGCCAAACAGACGCGGACGTCACAGCGGGCGTCACAGCTGGCGTCACAGCGGGCGTCACAGCGGGCGTCACATCGGGCTAACCTGCAGCCGCCACCAGGCTGGACGGTGCTTACTCATCATAGCAACACAGCCGTGACAATATATATATATATATATATATATATATATATATTTGTGTGTGCATGCGTGCGTGCTGGCGTGCGTGCGTGCGTGCATGCGTGAGTTGAAGTTTGATCACTATGATTCACGGCATGAGCAGCTGTTGTTATCGAACATGCACTGAAACGATGTTGTCCTAGAAAACTCCGGGAACACCCTAGATGAGATGAGATGTTTATAGCTGAGCCATGCCAGTACTTACGGTGGGTCGTTTGCCAGTGCTTGTCTTAACAGCCTGCTGAAAACTTTCATCATTTTCCATCTCGGTTGCATCAAGGGAGACATCATAGTCGTACCCTGAGTACAGATCTTCCTCCTCATCAGCCATGGCTGCAGTTCTCTCTTAGCTCTGTGGATGCCACTGCGGCTTAATGACAACTCGCACAAAACGACATGTCGTTGAGCCAGCACAGGCCAAACGCGAGCCGTTGCATCGTTCGTTGTAGTGCCGTTGCATTGGCTGCTTGCTCCAGGGCTGGAGTATTCTGCTTTTGGTGGTCCGGTGCACTGGTACCGCGATGAGAACTCAACCCGGGCAGTAAGCGACGGCTCGTCGGGGGCGACCTGCGCTATAACCGCCAATCAACGAGCCTATCGCCAACATGAGCGCTGCGTACAGGGTCCCAAGCGGCTTACCCTTGTGGCGATCGCACGACTTTGTTCGGGTCCGGCCAGGATATCGGAACTAGTACAACTCCAGTGAGCAAAACGTCGTGGGTTTATTGCCAGCGGGCCTTTACTAAAGGACAACTGACACCTGGATGTAAGATTGCATTCGCCTGTGAAATGCAGCGGCTTCATCAGGTTTTGAGGTCTGGGGCAACCGATGACCGGGGAGGGGACTGGTACTCTGGGACCAAAGATGAGACGGGGGAGAGGGGGGGGGGGGGGGGGAAGGGCGTTACTGCCATGGGGGCGCGGCTGCAGCCAGGGAATCCATATGCCTTATAGGGGAAAGACCCTGGCCTGACCCTTGCCGCCCCCTCCCCCCCCCCCCCACATTGCAGACACCCCCGATGTCAACTGGATACAAGCTTTTTAGGTATGCAGAACCATGAAACATCTTCACTGGAGTCATCTCGTTCTGACCTGCCCATCAGTTGTCCCTCGTCAGCACCACCCAACCCCCACACTGGTTACACTTCTGCACGTAACCAGTCTGCAAACCATGACAGATTTCGACGAGATCTCGTTGGGGCAAGTGATATTTGGGGCAGGCTGTCTGCCCCAAAAAGTGCCTCGATGTCTGCTTAGGCTGATACCCATCATACGCGCAAAACTTGGCCGGGAAAAATGTAATACGCAAAACTTCATGGGGAAAATGCCATATTCGCAAAGCTTTCTCGGAAAAATGCCGTGCATCCAAAACTCTCAAGACTTAGGCCTTGCCAGGAGCCATCTATGGACTGCAGCGAAATATGAAAAATGCGGGTCTAGGGGGAGGATCGGAGGGGAGCGGATCCCCTTTGGTTACACCTGTTATATGAAAGTACCTAAACTTAGACCTATCGGTAATCAAACCATTGCGACGATCTTCCCATAACCCCTACACGATTCAGGTCGTTGCTTTTTCCTAGCTTTATGCACCTTTAGTTTCTACCATGTATGCATCTAGCTTGCCTAGGTCTGGAAATTGGAACTACCTTAAAGGTTATAAGGGGGACTTGCTGGAAATGAGGATATTTTTACTTTGCCCAGATACCACTGACCTTGGTACCACGTTTACTTTTCAGTTGCCTTTGCTGCCCCGGCCTCTGCTTTCAGCCAAGCTTCGAACGATGCGCGCAAATGTTGCCATGGTGACGAGGGTTAACAAATGTGGTTGGTGCAACCTTAATTTACTGCCTTTATTATCGCGAACCTAATGAACCATGCAACCAAGGTTATCTAACGGCATGCCATGCAACCACGACATACAGCCAAGGCATGCAACCACGACACCAGCTTGATTTAATGCTCTTAGAGCGAAAGACCAAAACATTGCAAGATTTTCGCGATCTGTAACAAATTTGAAAGCCACAATGAGTCAACCAACACGCGTCTTAATTCCGCTTTAGCTGGAACGAACGGAAATCTGGCTGTTCGTCAAACACAGCTATTCCTGAAAACCTGAAATATTGCCACTGTTTCTTCGTGTCTTCAGCTGTGACGCTTTCGACGCAAATGCAGCCACAGAAAGGTAACAACTGTGTGCAATTTATCACTCAACAAGTACTAATCCCACATCGTCCAATGTATTGCTGTATGTAATTATAGCATGGCTATGTCCTCTGGTGAGGATGACGGAAGCCGAATGGGTAGTCCGTATGGTAGTATTCTATGTACTGAACTCAGACATGCTATATTGTGGCTAAAACTCCCTTTCGACGTGACCAATTTCCCTAACAACGCCAAACAACACTAACTTCGCCAAAGTTCTCTTTTTAGAAAGGGAGCACGAGGCATGCCACCATGCCCTTTTTATAAAACGCAAGCGACTGCATCAGCGACTTTTTATAAAACTGCAGCGACTGCATCTGCCATCTTGGCGCTGGTCTTGCTCTTTGCACCATGTCAAGCTCCAAAGTAGTTCCACACATCGACCGCAGTCGCTTTAGGACTTTTCATATCTTTGAGATCGGGGCAGTTAAATCTGGCACATTAGAAGAAAACGGACTAACGCGCTGCTCGCTTAGATATGCATACTCCCGTCATATAGCAAAGGCACTTTCCTCCGTTTCAATAGAATGTCGTTTTACGTTGTGTGTCGAAAAAGCACCAACATTTCGTATTGACCGACCGTTGTCTGTTGCCGCATGCGCATAATATATTTCGCATTGACCGCAAATATCATCGCGACACAACGTTGTTGGTACAATGTTATGGGAGGTGTCAAGACAAAGAAAAGGTGATGACCTGACATCGCGATGTCAAAGGTTAGGTCAAACGGGTCCGATAAATAGCTTCCCATACATGAGAATCGACAATAGTAATTGCATGAAATCAGTTTAACAGTCACCACGTTGGGCCCAACACATCTTTGGTAAAATATGCACCATAACATATTTTGCACATACTTGCAGCAATCGCAGCCGTTCGTGGCCAGAACCTGTCCAGAGTTGGGCTACAGGCGGGGGCAGATATGGACAAACAGCATCATCACGCCACCACTGATGTCGCCACGAGCTCATTTCAATCGGTATTTCCCTGAATAGCCTCGAACCATAGCGCATTTATAACGGGTTTCGCACGTTGAAAGGGAAAGTGTGCTTTTACAAACAGGATTAGCTGAAAGGGAAGGCATTTCTGTATTGTGCTTCGATAGTACGAAGCCCAACGTTCTGCACAACGAAGTAGACGCAACGAGCCTGACAGATGAAAAGTGTTTCGCGTATCTCATATACGACGATACAAATACCTGAAATGATCTTGTTCGCCTATGGCAGAAGCGGTGGGTGCGATAAATTGTCCCAAGCTCAACCGAAAATAGAGCCACTCGGGCTGGACATCCGACTCAGCAAAACTCAATGGGCGCACGGTGCACACTCACAAACAGTGGGGCAACATCTCGCAGCCCCCCAGTCACTCCGCGCCAGTAATCCAGCCAGACACCCATACACCAGCCCGCAGCACTCGCAGTGAACGGCTACATGCACAGGTTACATCACAACAGTGCATTACAGCTGATAAAACTATGTTTGCAGTGCATACCACGGCTTCCGAGGAAAAGTAGGTATGTGCAGTGTGGCACAAACATCAGTCGCTTTCAGTCCCTTAGAGTGCATCAAACAGCAGCACAGCAAGGAAAATGGCAATCCGATCGGAATGAGAATGACCTTGGATGCCCTTCGATGACAAAAGGCAACTGTTAACGTTACACGGCGTGTTCAACAGTTTTGAAAGGGGAAAGTCAAGAACGGAATTGGTCGACTGAAAAAAGTTATACACAAGATCCTGATTTGTTGCCAAGCCCTGGCACCTGAACCTTGCGCACTACATAACTGCTTTCGTCGCAGCCGACGGAGAATGCAGCTACCCTCGATCAGAGTGGTCCTCCCCGTCCGCCCCGCTCGTCCGAAGCGCGTGCTGGCTGGATGGCGTCGATGAACAAGAGTTCGGGGCTGCCGGCCCGTCTGTCGGCGGGCCCCAGTGCCGTATCACCACCAGGGGCACCGCCCCGACGGCCTGTCCGTCGGTGGCGGCCCCTCATCACCGCGTTGCCGTCATCGAGCCGCCGACCTGGCGGGCGGGCCAGGCTCCGCTCATGACCCTGGCCTCGCCCCGCTCTCGTTTCATCGCATTACCACCACAATGTTGCCGACCAGCGCCGGCTGCAGCTGCTCCAGTGCCGACGCCACCTCCGAGAACGGCACCGTGTGGTGGATGTTGGGCCTGCAACGGGACGCCACGTGAGGACCGCGCGGCGATGGGGACCCCGTGCCAGCCGATTACTCGCTTACAGCGGATGAAGCAGAATTTCCGTCGGACACAGTGAGATGCGCAGCAGTGGCTCCGCACCAGCTTAAAATGAGATGAATTTATCGAAAGAAGATGAGTCGAGCATATACAACCTCGTGGATACATCACGCTCTCGTTCAATGAAGCATATAGCCTATGTTAGTTCGACGAATTCGCGGGACGCAGACATAATATTTAATCGGATTATGTCAGAATCCAAACAAAAGTTCACATCAGAGCACGGCTAGACGGCGTCGCCGTCCATAATCCTACCGACAGCATCGCTCCTCTAGCGCGTGAACCACTCCGCAGACTCGCTCAGCACGCCGGCACCACCTGCGGACGTTGGGCCCTGAGCTGTGTAGCGCATACAGCTGACGCAGAGCATGCCTGCCGACCGCCTATGCCAGAGACACGGATCCGACAGAGACCTACGGCAGAGCATGCCTGCCGACCGCCTATGCCAGAGACACGGATCCGACAGAGACCTACGGCAGAGCATGCCTGCCGACCGCCTATGCCAGAGACACGGGCCTGACAGGGACCTACGTCAGGGATACCGGCCCGATACTCCTGCTTGCGAAGCCCTGTTTTCAGGGATAGGCACCTCGAGGCTTACGAATTTGTCGGCGCCTGAGGACGTGTGCTCGGCGGTGAGGTGATTCAGCGTTGGCCATTTTAGCAATCAATCAGCCTCTCGCGGGGCGCAAGGGATGATACGCAGCGGAACAGGGCACGTGAGGGCAAGTGCCTACTTTTCATTGCGAATGTCAAGAAAGGGGCTTATCTGGCATTTAAAGAGCAAGTGACATATCTGATAAGCAGAATGGGTTGTGATCGGAGTTCACAACCCATTACGCCGTGAGCTGACCACTATGACGCCGTGAACTGAAGCATATGAACAGGGAACCTTCAACCAATGCATCAAGAGCGAAGCCACTGTGGTGTTCATTCTTCTTTGACATATTTTTGGCCATGCTTTTTCGACTTGAGTAGTTCGTGGTCATAGCTTGTAAATAGTCACGATGTTTTCAAAACACAGTTTATGTCGATGATTGTGGATAAACGGCGATTTTAAAAAAAATCGTCCTCCGCGGCCCGGGCACCGGTAGCGGATATCTCCCACCGAAAGCAGTCCCGTTAGCCTGGTACCGATCGCAAACTGTCCGCAAGGCCGACACCGCCACACAACACTGCCTCGTCCGACACTCCCACACAACACTGCCTCCCACACCATCTAGCGATGGAGTACGCCGCTAGAGAACACACAACAGACAGTTCTGAACGATCGGGCGGACGGACGGTTTGAACCATTCCGACGGCCTCGGTGCCACCTACGGCCGCCCCGCCCCGGTGCCGGTCCGCGGACCCTGCCAGCCGCCCCGCCCCGGTGTCGGTCTGCGGACCCTGCCGTCCGCCCCGCCCCGATGCCGGTCCGAGGACCCTGCCGGTTGCCCCGCCCCGGTGCCGGTCCGCGGACCCTGCCGTCCGCCCCGCCCCGGTGCCGGTCCGCGGACCCTGCCGGTCGCCCCGCCCCGGTGTCGGTCCGCGGACCCTACCGTCCGCCCCGCCCCGATGCCGGTCCGCGGACCCTGCCGGTTGCCCCGCCCCGGTGCCGGTCCGCAGACCCTGCCGTCCGCCCCGCCCCGGTGCCGGTCCGCGGACCCTGCCGGTCACCCCGCCCCGGTGCCGGTCCGCGGACCCTGCCGGTCGCCCCGCCCCGGTGTCGGTCCGCGGACCCTGCCAGTCGCCCCGCGCCGGTGCCGGTCCGCGGACCCTGCCGGTCGCCCCGCCCCGGTGTCGGTCCGCGGACCCTGCCGGTCGCCCCGCCCCGGTGCCGGTCCGCGGACCCTGCCGGTCGCCCCGCCCCGGTGTCGGTCCGCGGACCCTGCCGTCCGCCCCGCCCCGGTGCCGGTCCGCGGACCCTGCCGGTCGCCCTGTCCCGGTGCCGGTCCGCGGGACCTGCCGTCCGCCCCGCCCCGGTGCCGGTCCGCGGGACCTGCCGGCCGCCCCGTCCCGGTGCCGGTCCGCGGACCCTGCCGTGCCGCCAGCGCTCACCGGATGACGTTGTCGCGCAGCTTCTCGGCCACGTCCAGCAGGATGTGTTGGTAGCGGCCGAGCCGGTCCGAGCTGAGCAGCCAGGCCTGAGTCAGCAGGAAACACAGCGAGCCGCACTTCATCAGCAGCCGCTGAGACACGGCCGGCTCCAGCTGCAGCACGCCGGGGAGTGTCACAGGTCACAAGGGTGGTCACAGGTCACAGTGTTGGCCACCGATCACAGGGATGGTCACAGGTTACAGGGGCGCTCACAGGTCACAAAGGTGGTCACAGATCACAGGGGTGGTCACAGGTCAAAGGGGTGGTCACAGGTCAAAGGGATGATGACAGGTCACAGGGGTGGTCACAGGTCACAGAGGTGGTCACAGACCACCTCTGTGACCACGGGGGTCACCGAAAGCTGCGAAGGCCAAAGGACACAGCGCGGGTACCAGACACACAGTGTCGGATTGTGCGTGGGTTTCCACGCTGGACAGTAAACATGTTGCGCAGTCGGAACAGAAAAAGGAAAACAATGCTGTGTTATAAAAAACAATTCCAGCTACATTTGAAATAGTGTACACATATGAAAGCAGTCGTCTTAATTTACACCGCAGCTTTACGATAACCAACCTGCATCCAGGCTATGTCGAATGGGAATCTTAGTGTGAGACAACAGGTATAGAGGGCACACTTTTGTCAGTGGATTATATCGGACAGGAGGCTGTTTTCAATCATGGTCACAGGTCAGAGCCATGCCACAGGAAGGTCACAGGGAAGGTCACAGGACGTGTCACAGGTTAGAGAGCGGCCAGCCAAATGAGGTGGTCGGCCCGGCGCCACTTCGCCGCTCCAGCTGCGGGGCAAGGGCCCACAATACATCTAGATCCCAGTAGAACCCACCGGTCACACACCTCCAACGGGAGACCCCTCCCCTCCCCCGCCCGCCAGCACCAGTCAGGAACCACACCAGCACCAGTCCGGACCATACCAGCACCAGTCCGGACCTCACCAACACCAGTTCAGGTCAGCACCAGTCCGAGCCACACCAGCACCAGTCCGGGCCACACCAGCACCAGTCCGGACCACACCAGTACCAGCCCACCGTTACCCGGACGCTACTGCGTGAGATCACACGCGCGACGCTAGCCAGCGACGGCGGGTTACCTGCAGGCTCGCCTGCTGTGTGACAATGCGACCTCCGACGGCCAGAACCTGCGAGCTCAGCCGCATCGGCCAGAAGCTAGATGGCGCCTCCCAGTCCGGAGAGTCGCCCACCTGTTCGGAACAGCCCGTCAGGCGCTGTATCCGCACAATCCTTCAGTTGGACAGAGTCGGTGCGGGCTTACAACCAATATAGCATTACCGACAGTCATATATTGATCGAGGAGAAGCGAGTATCTGCGAAGATACTGATTGAAGAGAAGCGAATATCTGCTACGATATTGATCAAAGAAAAGCGAGCGTCTGCGAAGACATTGATCGCAAAACATTCTGCTGGCCGACATCAACCCGCTGCAGGGCGACCCACGAATGGCGCACGGCTTTCTGAAAGCCTCGGCCAGCAGGACAGAGTTGCCCTGTGAGCAAGTTGGTCGCACCTTATGCCTGACCAGTCTGACCACAGGTCCACCGCCGCTCTGTCCCCACCCACCGGCTGCTTGACGTTGGCCTGATCCACGATGATGTCGACGCCCTGCTGCAGCGTCTCGTCCATCACCATCTGCTTCAGCTTGGCCGGCTCTGTGCCGCCCGAGCAGTCCAGCACCACTGCCAGCCAGAGGGCGCCGGCCAGTCAGCCCGGCGGACACATCACACCCGACCCTGCCTGTCGCAGTCCAGCACCACTGCCAGCGAGGGGGCGCCGGCCAGTCAGCCCGGCGGACACAACACATCCGACCCTGCCTGTCGCAGTCCAGCACCACTGCCAGCCAGGAGGCGCCGGCCAGTCAGCCCGGCGGACGCCCCACGTCCGACCCTGTCTGTCGCAGTCCAGCACCACTGCCAGCCAGGGGACGCCGGCCAGTCAGCCCGGCGGACACACCACACCCGACCCTGCCTGTCGCAGTCCAGCAACACTGCCAGCCAGGGGGCGCCGGCCAGTCAGCCCGGCGGACGCTCCACGTCCGACCCTGCCTGTCGCAAGCTGGCGTCCGCCGCCCGCCGGCAGAGCACGCATCGGGTGCAGATGAGCGCCGAAACCGCAACAACACAGTCACGGATCCGAGGTCGGGGGCCGGGTGGCCAGCGCCTTCGGCTCCCACGTGGGGACCCAGGTTCGAACTCTAGTTGCACCATGACCGCGAGGGCACCAGTGGGCACCAATTCGGCACCAGTGTGGCCGCCACCGTCGCTGGCGCTCCATAACAGGATGCTCGGTGACCTAACGTCGCATTATCTTTTTAAAGGGGGGCAGGGGAGAGAGGGTGCTGCCATCAAAGGCTGTTGCTGGATCAAAGATCGAACTTGTCCCTGGGATGTTGGAGGGTCACGACCTCGGTTGTTGAGGGGCCACGTTGGGATCTAGCCCACCAGCATGAACACAGCCTGGGTGTAACACTTGTCAGTTGACGGGCCAGCTGACGAGCCGCTGAACACTTGCCAATGAAAGGCCGATAAAAAAACGCGTAATCGCTCGCAAGGTTCGGTACATCGTTCGACTCGTAGTCATAGCGGGGTTGGGCCTGGCGAGCCAACTCCTTACCAATGTCCAGCTTCAGCGACTCCAGGTAGCTCTTCTCGTCATCCGAGTGAGCCGAGGTGATCACCTTGCCCCCGAAGTGGGAAGCCAGCTGCACGAGCACCGACCCGAAGCCGGTCGCGCCGCACGGCACGAACACTGAAACGGCACCGGGGCGCAGCGTCACCGGGCGTCAGCGGCGGCGTCCGCCGTCTGCCGCCCGTGCTGGCGGACAGGCCCGGTACCCGCCCGTGTCCCGGCGCTTCACGAAGCAGGACGGAACGGCACGCGCTAGGAACAAAGCTTGGAAAGCGTCCCCTACTGTAACCGGTCGGCAGGGTAACGTCGTTTGGCTGCGGGCCCGACACTCCCCCTGCACACCCACAGAGCGAAACCGTAAAAACTTAGCGCAGCTGCATTCCACAATCAGGTCAGCGCTGGTCGACAACAAATGCAATGACACTAGCTTACACGACCAACGCTCAATATAAGGCCTGGACCAGCACGTTTCATTCCTTTCTTCATTGCGAATAAAGGCATGTATGTCCTGAAAGACCATGCCATGAGTACACAAATGCAGCTGGAAAAAATAATAAAATTTACAAGCGAGATTCAAAAATATAAAGACAGCAACAAAAAAACGCGACAGATTCACCTAAATTAAGCACAAAAACCTCAGTTAAAGAGTACAAGGTGGCTGTTGCCATCTGACATCTGCAGACTGCGGACTCTCACAATAATCGGATCTCACATTCTGCAGATCCGTTCTTCCACATTCATCTTCCACCCAACCAATTGGGTGCGGCCATTAACTATCAGACAAGGCTGTGGAGAATGTTTCTTCCCCATAGCTTGGTAACGCTCTTCTGGAGCGAGCGGTCACGACACTGACATTGCTGTCACATCGGCCTTAACCACCGGCCCGAAGACTGCGTGAAGCCCGGCCGGCAGTCGAGCTGGCAGTCGAGCCTGAAGTCGAGCCGGCAGTCGAAACTGCGCGTCGGACAGGCACCCGAGCACGCCGCTCCATACCGGTGTCGGCCGGCCGCAGCCGGGCCTGGTAGACGAGCGCCGTGTAGGCCCGCAGCGCGTCCTCTAGACAGCTGGCCGCATGCGCGTGCGACACAGCGGCAGGCTTGGTCACTGTAACACAGCGCCACGCGCTCAGTGGCCGGCTGGCTATGGGGCATCAGCGGGGCAGCCTGCTCCTCTGGGACAGGCAGGTTCTGTGGATTACAGGCGACCCGGGGCAACCCCCGCGCTGGATGGGCTCTACGGTCTTTACGAGCACATAAGCGAGGGGAAAAGTGTGCAAATGTCACATGGTTGACGCTTCAATATTCTTTTTCTTTGTTTTGCGAGCATACACACCCATGTGTAAGGCCTCCTAATGCATTTACAAACAGACTCCAAATATCAGAAAAACGAAAAACATCGGAAGAACGTGGCAAGAACGCCTGCGCTCACGCCGCGCTCGCGTGCGCACATCACCTACCGATATCGTACTGGCTGACGACGACAAACTCGGCGCAGGCGGGCCGATTGCCGTCGATAGGAACAATGCCCATGACATGCTCTCCAGGGCTCCAGAGCGTGACGGCGCTGCCCACCTGGTGCACCACCCCCGAGAAGTCCTGGCCCATCGCCAGCTGTGGGGTGGGGTCAGCACTGGGGTCAGAGGGAAAATATGAGGAAAGGCCACACTGGGCACATAACCACTAAATAGTGCCATAAATGCATAAGTGAGTTAATATTGCAATGAGTGCATGAGAGTGCAGGAAACATTCACTCAGCACCATCACAGTAACAGCAGCCATGATGACCTACCACATCTAGGCAGGTAGACAGCAAATGGCAACAGTGCCTTCCTGTTAACATCATCATTGTGATGGTAATAGACTGACACATTGCATCAGAATTTCATCAGTTGTGCTTTGTTTCAGTCACATTTCATAGCATACCTCGGTAAGCCCAATGTTCTTCATGAAGGACAGCAATGATTTGTCCCACATGGTCAGATTGCAGGCTTTCACTTGTATAAGTACTTCATCCTCTTCAAATGATGGTGTGTCCAGCTGAAACACCAACATAATTTATAAGATGGGTGACCTTAAAACAAAGCAACAAAAACCATAAGTGGAATTAAAAAACCAAATTAAAATGAAATGCAAATACATAACACTGCAAGTATGTATAGGCACATCATGCACCAAGCCAAAATCCAATTCTGTGAATATATAGGCAGTAGAACCATGAACACACAAATATGCAGATGGCTTCTGACTTATCCATTGCTTTACAATGATGTTAGCAATTTGATATCATGGCTGCTGTGTAGTAGTAAAATACAACACCAAACCATTTGGTAAACAAAGTGTGCAGCTTGAAACACAACAAGCCCTCAAACTAATTCACTGAAGATTAAAATGCGACCAGATGCAATTGAAAAACTTCAAGGTGAAAAAGAACCTACAACATACCAGCCTATAACTGTTCCCTCCATGAGTCACAAGTGTAATCCAGAACAACAAATTTCAATGATTTTTAATCATAATTTGCTTTTGAAATAAGGGTAGGTTAAGTTGGAAGCTCACTCTATTCTATTATACACAAAATATAAATACTTAGAACCAAGGACTTCAAAGAGACTGAAATCAAATTTCCTTGAATATTTTTCAGTTCACACAAACCAAAACATTGATCATTCAACTTGGTAAGGATGAAGAGGTTTCAAGTAGAGCACTCTGTTAAGTCTATCCACACATAAGAGTTAATGTTGAATTAAATAACCAGGGCCAAATTTAGAAATAACAAGCCAGTTTGCAGTAATCAAGGAGAACTTATCCCTCAATCAGCCATGCAAGTACCAAAGTAAAAGAAAGCCGCTGCCAACTCACCAGCTTGCTGAGATATGGCCCAGCCTCAAATTTAACATTAGTTGAAGAATCAGAACCAACTGAGTTGAATGGGAGATATAATGCCCTCATGGTGCCTAAGCAAGAACACACCTCAAAAAAATGCGCAAAGAGTTATTTTAATGCGATTATTACACCACCAGTTATGTCACGTGAAATAATTCACAATCGTTTCAGTGGTACGCGCAACAAACTCCTAGGAAATCAGCATCGGTAGTAAATAATCCTGTTGGCGAAAACCAACTAATGTCATTTATGCGTCACATTGTCTTTGAAAATGCGCTGCCAAATTCCAGTAAAGCACCAATCTGTAGAGGGTTCTTACCAATCACGTCGCCGCGCGCCGTCTGTTTGCCGTCTGCTTTTCCTTTTTCTTACGCCTCGTTGTCGTCACGTACATGGCCCGCCATGGTGCTTCAATTGATTCCGATTTCGAAGGTGCTGCATTATGAAATGATGCATTTCGAGCGTCGGATAAGCCTGGTGTTGGCCGCGTTCCATGCATGCATTCATCCGCTTCCTCTACTGATAACACCCACCCAGCTCTCCTTTGCCCTAAATCATGTTGCATCATAGACTGCATAGTCGTACTTCTCCCCAGCAAGCAGGGCCCAGGGGCCCACAAGGAGCCAAGATCAGTTTGGCCTGGTTTTTTCGGTGGACTCGATCTCGTAATCTGTGCTATCGGATTTAATTAGAACCCAGCTGCGCTCAATGCACTCAGAATACGCTGGCGGACGCTGCCATAGTGCTCTTCGCCGAAATGTGTGCGTCATACTCACGTCATAGCTCGAGAACTGCGACCGAACGTCCAAAACCAAACAACAAACAGTACCCATCGTGTATTTCGAGACCGGTGGCGCCATCTGTAGATGCGGTGCGGTGCGCCATTTCCCTTTCGCCAGCTGATCACCGAGTCGCCGGCCATTCTGCCACCAACACTGATCCTGTCCTGGTCAACGCTTCCTCTCCGTCTTCCACTTGTACACCGGCGCTTGCTTGGAGTTGCCCGGGTGCACCTTCTTCGGTGGTAGCACCTTCTTATCCTGGAAGACCAGTAACGCATTCTTTCGTCATGCCGTAAAACACACGGTACCGGGCAGTCAATGACGACTCGCTTATCGTGCGACGGCAAATAGCATGCTAAAGCGGCAGCGAATGAATAGACATGGCGAAGCACAAAAATAAGCTAAAGACGCGATGCGCCCATAAACCTGGAATCCGACGCAGCAACAAGGTGTCAGGACCTGTCTAAGAACGCTTGAGACAGTTTCACCGACGACCTACTGTGCAAGACAGCTCTAAAGCCTGAGAGCCCACATCAAACGGCAATGGCTTCGTGCTGGCGTCCATGCCACCCAATGTCAGCGGTGGTCCACCCTCGACCAGCGCGTCGGCGATACAGGCGAGTAAGTGGCGGTTCAGTGCCGTACCTGCAGGTGCCGCTTCACCTCCATCCTCCGCTCCATCAGCGCCAGGGTCTTCTGCCGCTCCAGACGCTTGGTTAGCTCGCTGTAGCGGGCCTTCTTCTCCTCCAGGATGCGCTGGCGGCGGGCGAGAACGTAATGACACACATAATAAGACAGCTGGGGCCCGCGACCATACTGATGACACGAAACAGTTCAGCGTTCAAGCGAAATCTCGTACGCCGGCACGCGTTACGCACCACAAATTGGCAGAGGGTGGGTTCCAAATGGCTACTCTGACGAGCGAGGCCTTACATGGTTCCTAGCCTTTACTTATGATCAACAAAGATTACAACGGCGCCATCCGGCAGGCAGGTGCGAGATAAGAACGGCAGTGGTTTGATGAGTTTGCGAGCTTGAGCCAACGCCAACAGGGCCGGTTATGGTTATTTGCCCCCCCCCCCCCCCCCACACACACATACACACACCAGCCCACAATCACCTGTCTTCCAAGTCATCGCTGCCGTCTGCACTTCCCTTTCTCGCTACCGTCTGTCCTCCCAAGCTCCGCTTCCGTCTGTCCTCCCCAGTCCCGCTGCCATCTGTTCTCCCCAGTCCCGCTACCGTCTATCCTCCAAGTCCCGCTGCCGTCTGCCCTCTCCTTTCTCGCTGCCGCCTGTCCTCCCCAGCCACGCTGCCATCTGTCCTTCCCAGCCTCGCTGCCGCCTGTCTTCCCCTGTCCCACTGCCACCTGTCTTCCCCTGTCCCGCTGCCACCTGTCCTCCCCAGCTCCGCTTCCGTCTGTCCTCCCCAGTCCCGCTGCCATCTGTCCTCCCCGGTCCCGATATCGTCTGTCCTCCCAGTCCCGCTGCCGTCTGTCCTCCCAGTCCCGATACCGACTGTCCTCCCAGTCCCGCTGCCGTCTGTCCTCTCCAGTCCCGCTGCCGTCTGTCCTCCCCAGTCCCGCTGCCATCTGTCCTCCCCGGTCCCGATACCGTCTGTCCTCCAAGTCCCGCTGCCGTCTGTCCTCCCAGTCCCGCTGCCGCCTGTCCTCCCAGTCCCGCTGCCGTCTGTCCTATCAGTTCTGCTGCCGTCTGTCCTCCCAGTCCCGCTACCGACTGTCCTCCTAGTCCTTCCGTCCTCCCGCCGCGCTTCTCACGTCCAGCTGCTGCTCGCTGAGCTTGGCGGCGGACGGCAGCCGCGCCAGCTGCTCCAGCCGCGGTCGGTTGTAGGCGCGGTCCAGCAGCTGGGGCGCCGTCCGGAGCCGAGCCGCCACGTCCAGGCTACGGGCTGGAGCAGCGGGAGGGGGGTGGGGGGTCAGACGGCCGATGACAGCCGCCAGGGGAGGCGCCGGCCGCTCCGAGGCACGCCACGAGGTGGCAGGGTCACAGCTGACCGCGGCCGGCACGCGGCGCGCAGAAGGCGGGGCACGGCACTCTCGGGGCACGCACGCGTCCTCACCACGGTGGTCGGGGCTTGCTTAAGCACTGGGCAGACAGGCAAGCAGAAGGCCCAATTGTATCTCCAAATACAGAGCATTTACTTCCAACGAGAAGCGATCATATATATAATGAATGGGGTAGTGTACATCATGTACTGCACAGGTGCGTCATCGTACAATTAGAGACAGGTAGGTACCATGATCCGTATTAAGATGCTGCCTTAGTGCAGCCAACAACATATGTGATGCCCCTGCTGATGATCACAGGGTGACATTAAACAGCATTGCAGAACAGTGCCAACTATCTCGCTGCACCGCACGTCAAAAGATGCTAGCAGCTGCACGGATGTCGTGGCGCCAGTTGTGACCCGCTCCCAAATGTCACGGGGAAGAGGGCGCCGCTCCAAATGCTTTCGAAATGCGTTGTACATCCATAAATGGCTCATGGTAGTCCGTCTCTGCATGCAGAGCACGTTTTGCAGTATACCAGGCATCCAAATATACCCCGGGACTCGAAAACTGTTGGCAACACCCGGCTGGGATACATCCGAGTGAAGCTCACACCCAGCTGGCATATATCCGGGTGAAGCTTGACTATCTTGCTGACAACACGCAGCGAATGTAACATCCACATCCCGCTCCCAGAGGGTCGGCACACATCATCCGCGCTCGCAAGCACAGCAACCAAATCCTCCGCACCGCCGGCCGTTCCCTCACCTTCCCGCTTGTCGTCGGTGAAGAAGACGTGCGTGTTCTTCTGCTTGCCCTCGGCGTCCAGCAGGTGCAGCTCGGCCGTCAGGCGGGCCAGCTTGCGTGTCTCCAGCTGCCGTCGTTGCCGGATGTAGCGGATGTCCTGGCTCTGCAGCAGCGCCACCTGCTCCTCCGGCAGCTCCTCCTCCTCCACCACCTCGTGGTGACGCCCGTCCTGCCGACCATCAGCCGGTACAGAGTGACCCGCGAGGCGCGCCGTACTGGTTTACCTCAAGCCGACAGCCACGCCACGGCCCACGCTCAGCGCCCTCCGGTACCTCGGGGTGATGGTCACCCCGGAAGACGATGGTGGTGTGTGTGTGTGGGGGGGGGGGGGGAGGGGGCATATCACGCCACACTCTACCATGGCACCCCCTGTGGGGGAGAGCTAGAGCAAACCAACGTGTTTGTGGTATCCAAATAACTCGAAACCTGTCATCGCTAACCTTCGTTGCAGAGTTGACCATGTGAAAGTAGAACTCGTCGGGATTTCGGTTCAGAGCCTTCCTTTTCAGGGCCTTCAGCTGGTGCTTCTTTTTATTGTCTTCACTGAAATTGGCGACGGGTGTCAAGAACACCAACCATCTGCCATGAAGCTTGGGGGCATAAAAAAACCCTTCTCTTGTTCAGCTCAAAACTATGACCCTGCTCAATGCCATGACCCTGACCACTGCACATAACAACCATGTAACATAACTCCGCTAGCGCGCAGGCTAATCTAAAACCGCTGGACGGAGAACAAGCAACATAATGTTTGCGTCTTACAGAAGGATTCAGATGGGCAAACCAGAAAGAACCCCCAGACACCGGACTAGCAATCAGAAGACTCCGGTCCGAACCTCACCAATGTCCAGGAGAGAACACTGGCTGTAACGCATACATGGCTGATAGCCAAACGTTATTCAGTCCCTCTCAGGACTTAGCAACACCTGGAGACGGCCGGACAATCAACTGGCCGAAACGTTGTGTACATGCGAACTCACCACACAAGGACGACCGTCCGGACAATTATTCAATCAGCATGATGCATGGCATAAAAATCAATCAATCACCCTGATGCTTACGTTTTTGACAAAAGTGGAGACGCGCTACTCGAGCTCGCTTTCGTTTCGGTTCAACAGACAGTCAAGCAAAGACGCCGGGAAACAACAGAAACATTCCAGATGATTATAACCGACACGGACTACCTGCATGCCCATCACAGCTTTTCCCAAGCACTCTCCTGCCCTGCAGTGACCCAGCACGTTGGACACACAACCTTTCCAAAAACGAGGCCGAGGGTCAGCGGTTGTTTCAGAGCACCCGGCGGGGTTCATTCCCGGATGTTCAGTACACCCTCCTCGGCGGTGGGAGCTGGGTGCGCGCCCACCGGGGGCGTGTCCGCCGGTCGGCCCAGTGGGCGCGCGCCGTCGGCAGCCGACTCCGCCCCGCGTCCGCCGATTATTCCACGTGTCCAGCGCGGCCGACCGGGCGGCAAATAACGAGTAATGCCCGACATCTGGTGACTTAATGTGACAACACGCGGCGCCCAAGTGCTCTGACACCGCCAGGGATGGGGCGCGCGGACGCCCCACGGCCATCGCAACCGCGGCCCCCTCCGGGCGACGCGAGCAATTGCTCGGGTGGTTCACATACCGGGTAGGCTGCAGTCATTCTACTGTAAATTCAATCCAAAACATGGTCAGTGCAAAAATAGGCACGCAAGTACTCGAGAATACAGCCGCTGCTTTGTGACGTACTTTGCTCTGAGCTTGTAGTCCCGCTTCTTCTCTAGATGTCCGAGGTGTTGTCTGGCGGCAGGCTGCAACAAATCACAACAACATGAGCAAGATCAATAACATTTCAGTGCATAATTAAAACATTAGAGCTACTTTTTATAATGAACACTTATGCTGAGAGCACACGGTCCAGCTAACCTTCATATGGGGGCAGGCTGCAACAAATAACAATAACATGCACAAGACCAATGACATATAAGTGCGTAAGTAAAACATCAGAGCTACTTTTTATAGCGAACACTTGTGCTGAGAGCGCACTATCCAGGTAATGACATTCATACGCATAGCTCATCAGAAATTCAAGATTGTCATTCAGTCCACCCTTTGGGGCTTTTCAAAAATTTGTGGACCCTCAGTGACACATAAGTCCCTGCAATCTTGAGTGCATAATGTACAAAAACACTGGGTGGCACTACAACATGTGATCCAAGTACGTCATTGTTTTCTGTACAAATCTTTAAAACTGGGTACTTTAACCCTGACCTCAGGAGTGCAACATGCTAAATGTATTTCATGAGCAAAAAGGGTTTGTGAGAAGAGTGTCATTAACTTAAAATGTTCCAAACACAATTAAAAACTTGGCAGGAAAAAGTCTGCTTTGGCTGTGGCAAACACAAGCTCATGCCTACTGGATCATGGAGGCTTACAAGCCAGCTTGCAGCTCAGCTCATGGAATACCAAAGAGCTTTAATACATGAGCAGATAACAATACAGACATTTGACAACCACATTAGGGTCACGACAGCCCACCTGATGTCTCTCCCTGTGAAATTTCTGTCCCTTCACTGCATTCCTCAGAGAAGACATGCCCACAGGAAATGCTGGGCCCTGATTCTTCAACCTCCTGTTCTGAGCACTCAGCTCAGATCAGTCAATTACTGGAATCTGGAAACATAAGACCACACAATTAGTTTTGACAGTGCAACAGCATAAACATTTAGAATAAGTGCACCATTACAACCACAAAGAAGAAACAGAAAAAGACAAATGGAAAGTTTGCTTGTCATTGGCAAACTACCACTGCAGAAGTAGACTGCAAAAAGTACATGCAATACCACACACATCCAGAGTGGCTGCAGTATTGCAACAAAAATTTCAGTGCTTGCATGTAGTAACTCAAAGTGCTCCATGTTTCATGCATGGTCACCACCAATTTCAATGTGTTGCAAGCTGATATTGGTAGGAACTAAAGTGCTGTTATGATACTTACATGAAAAAATACTCTGGGATTTTCTTACAAGAACAATTCTTTGGAAACTCAGCTTAAATTAGTGTGGTGAGTTTGTCTCATACGAGCACTAGACTCAGCACACCAATTTGAAATAGGCCCATGGCCTGAAAGACAGATGTTTCAAACTGGCCACAGTGGGGACACAAAGACAACATGCAAGTTGGTCAAAAGATGTTGATGCTCACTGTCAAATAAATGCATTGATATCAAAATATTTGGAGTATTTCTGCTAAATTTACACAAAAAACTATGGGCAAACAAACACCCAAAAGTTCATAGGTGTTCACTTCTCAAAAAGCATAGATGAGTGATGATATGATGGAAGTACAGCCCAGAATATAGCAAATGCATCTTACAGCAAACACTTCTGACATAACAGTGACACTGCAGAAAAATATCAGTATGTGCAAGCTGTTAACCTGGGCATTTAGTATGGTGCATGGTTACCACTAACATCAGTGCATAGAGAGCCAATGTTTCAGGGAATCATGGTGTTAAGCCAGTAGTTTCAGGCATTAGTATCCCAAAAACATTTTGCATACAAAACAATCAAATTACTCAATGTAATTCAGCCTGGCCCTGAGGTTGCCCTGCAAAGGTTCAGCAAACTAGTATCACCTCAGTATCTGACATTGAGATTTTTGCAGGCTGGAATACAGGCCATCATCAAAAATGGTATCACCTGACCATCTGACACAGTGGATGAATTCTTGCTGACTTGAACACAGACCTTCATCAAAAAGTGGCGAAGCCTAATATCATGAGTTGGAAAGACTAAAACTTTGACGAATGTTACGTCACAATCTGTGCCATCCATGAACATTTGCATTGATCTGGAAACATGCACCTTAACACATTTTTTGAAGAAGGGGCATAATATTCAATAACTTTTTTACTTCATGTACACCAGGTATCCACTTCAAATGTCAACTGATAAATGCGGTCATTAAATGAATTCAGTGGCAATGCTGGACATCGGCAAATCATCATGTCACTCATGAACTTAATTTGGGAAATTCTCTTCTCTAACCAGGGTGCACGACAATGCAGAAAAATTCAGAACTATCTCCGGGCTAATCATTTCTCCTTTAACTTGAATGAAAGGCCTATTGTAACCACAATCCGCCACACACCGCCCCCAACACAGCTTGTCACGCGTACCAGCATTAAACCATCAAAGTCCCTTGGTGCCACCTGGTGCCGTTTTTACCACATTTGCCATATGTGCGTCAGTTTACCTGGCAAAGATGCAACTACCATATCTATAGATTACCTACACAACCTTTGTTGTCCAACAAAATCTTCATTCAAAGTAAAATATATCCATCTCCGTTTGATAATCTCAAAACAACTACATCTGATTAGGAAATATTTGTCTCACACCTTCTCCGTTCAAGGGTGGCGAACGTGCGAGGGGGCGGGCAGAGAAAGGGAGAGAGAGAGAGAGAGAGAGAGAGAGAGAGAGAGAGAGAGAGAGAGAGAGAGAGAGAGAGAGAGAGAGAGAGAGAGAGAGAGAGAGAGAGAGAGAGAGATCCGCTTCTGGAAAATTTTTAGCATTTGCACCGTGATTCTCATTGGAAAAAAGCGGGGGTAAGTGGTAACCATGGTTTTTGTATCACCTCATCATCCGCCGAGATATACAACGCCGGGGATATCATAATTCTGTATGCTCTCCCCCCCCCCCCGCAAAAAGGAAACAACGTAAGATTGGTCCAAGGCGTTTCACCTAAGACCACGCAGTTTCCAGCGTTGGAAGCAGATAAAGGACACGACGACGTTGGAGCTCAGAGCTGTTGAGTGTCATGCTTCCCCGGCCTGGCGGTCTCTGACCGGGGTTCAGCCGTTCTGGCGTCCGACCTCGCCGGCGCTCGCCGGCTCCGGGCCGGACGTGGAGGCAGCGGTACGTCCGCGCACAATGCCCTGCTCTCAGCGGCCAGGAAGCCGGTCACGACGCATCGGCGTTTTTATCAACCTCGCCACGCGCCAGGCGCCGGAAGCGGCCGTCGTCAGGCGCCGCGCCGCATGATGGAGGTCGCGCGCAAGAGGGGGGGGGGGGGGGGGGGTCAGATGGATCGGCAGGCATCATCCCGGGGAGAAGCTGTGGCCTGTGGCATGTGACATCAACATGGAACAGCTGTCTTTTTAGACCTACTGCTGTTGTGGTTGCCCCCATTGTGAACGCCTAAAGTTAATGTTGTTTCCGTACGGCATAGCGGACCGGCTGTCGCCGAAGCTCTGCTTTCCTGTTTTACAACAGCCTTATGAGCGGCATAGCCACATGCCTAATATTTAATTATATACACTTATCCCGGCGTCACTGCATGGCTGTATCAACGCCAATGGATAGGTACACTGTGTTTGTACACTGTGTTTCCTTACAGCTTCTAAATCTCTGAAAATACTACACAACTAGAGCGTCTGACATGCCCACACCGCGCGCTAGCCGTCGGCTACAGATAAAATGGGCCTTTGGAATGGCGATGATTGCTCCGGTCCGTACAAAAAGCAAAGCAGACCGGTAAATTAAGAATTATGAAGGGAACTGGCAGACACTGTTGTTTCATCCTTCCATGCCTACGTCTTACAACGCACGGTATAATCTGAATGGCTCTGGCCAATTCTTTTGTGGGCTCCATGCGATAGTCTAGCTCCTATGACACCTATGCTCTCTATGGGCTCAAAACTTAAGATTGTCTGGTTATGGTTCGGATAACATTAACTGGCACCATAAAAGGTTAGGTGTAGGTACCAAGAACGATACACACGGATCCAGAACGGACGCTATGAAACGTGCGATGCAAGTTTAACAACACTTCATGTTTGCAATCAGTGAATGAAATGAAAGTGATAAAAATGAATAAACTAATGAATGGCTACACCAAATAAGTAGGGGCATTTACTACGACTGGATTTTAGAGAGCAACCCAAAAGCATTCGTCGCCGCGACGGGCCCTCGGATTAAGAGATCAGAAAGACAGAAAGGACAAAGCTTAAGAAAGGACAGCAGCTTCGAGCCGACAAGTAACGGGCCCTGAACTGCGATCAGATCAGAGTCGCTTCCTGAGCAACGACGAGCCCACCGATGGGCTTCAGGTACGATCGGACAAGAAAAAGACCATCAGCTTCCATCGGACCAGGGACGGACCACCAGTCGGACTAGAAATTCATCCACAGCTATCATCTGACCAGTCAGACCTGTGACAGGCCTTTGGCGGCGGGCAGACCCAGTCGCAGACACACAGCTATGATCAGGCCGGTTAGCAAAACTCATCTGTGGTCAGACCAGTGACGGGATAAGTCAGCCAGAGCCAGCTGATCTTCGCCCGCCCTATTTGGCGACGGTGACTTGGCGCCAATCTCGTGTGACGCTCCCCCTCCCCTCCAGCTGGTCTGGGTAAACGATAACGGCCGGGGGTCGGCTGAGGGGGGCAGGGGGGGGGGGGCGCCTGCGCACGGGCTCGTGCACAATCCGATTTCACGGTCGGGCACATTGATCATGAGCGGGGCGAGCTGCGACGACGGCCGTGACCAATGGCTGTCGCCGGCCTCGGCAGGCGGAAACATTCGATGTCAATTAGGCGGCGCCAGCGCGTGCCGGCTGGCCCGCCGCGCCGCCGGATATCGATCACGGCGGCTGCCGGGCACCCCGCTGCTCCGCGCGCTCAGGTCACGTCCGGAGAGACGCGCTGGCCCTGGGGCCACCGGGGTCAAGTTAGGGTGAGTTGATGACTCCTGGTGTCAGGTCGAGGTGAGCCGATCACCCCTGGTGTCAGGTAAGCCACAGTTCGGCGCGCTGACATTGGCTCCCAGGGTCAGGTCAGAGTGGGTTGATGATACCTACGTCCAGGTCTGTACCGGTTCAGTTGATTCGGTGATCATGTCAACACCAGTATTGCTGTTCCCTTGGGTCAGGTCAGCACCAGGAATGGCGCAACAGAGGCTCCACGTCGTCTCCAGTTCAGTACGAGAGCCTGTAATTCCCCGAATCTGGCGCATTATGAAGGCACGCGGTGACAAGGATTCAGTGGTCTCTTAACAGCACCGGCCATTTCCCAGGCACTAACGTGACTGATTGGTTAAAGTTTATCTAGCACTGGTACGGTCGCGCCACCACTGTATCATCATCGTTATGGGAACAGCTGGCATCAGTTATCCATATTCTGAGAGATTTTTGCGGTTGTGGTGAGTGACAGAAAGTAGCATAAAACACGAACGAAGTTTATCACTTCGGAATATTTTCACTACTGACTACCGCACATGTTTGTGGTCACAGTGAAGTTTGGTTAGCCACAGAACGCCTACAGAGCGCATGCATTGATACGACTTGGCAAGATGCATGACGCGGCGCGTCCCAGTGGAAAATACCGCGCTGCTCGTAGTAGCCCAACGGGTCACGATGCAACGGTACAGAACTGTGTTCGGCCTGACTCAGGGGCACAAATAAGGATGTCACTGCCCTTTGCTGGCCAACGAAGCAGTGCAGCATCCGCCTTCCGCGCTGTCAGATAGACAGCGATAGCAGCTGGTACTGCGTTTAGCTCGTGTCCACACCGACATCCCAGCTGGAGGCCCGCGCTGTCCGCCTCCGACGCGGACAGCGCGGGCCGCTGGCAGTCATGGCGGCCCCTGACCGCCAGAATGGCGTGGTTTCCGGCGCCTTGTCGACGATATGCGGTCCGCACAGCGCGTGTCCAGACCCCGGCCAATTTATGCGTGTTTTATCGGCTGATTATGACCTCCGGGGAGCGATCGGTCATGTGGCGGTCCTATCACAGGTCGTAAATATGGCCGCCGGCGGCGGTCACCGGTCGACCGATAAGCGGCCACCGCCGTCCATCAATACAGCTGTTAGACACAATCTCGACTCGGCACGATTGATGAAAGGTGCGCCTGCGATTTACGATCGCCGGGCCCGGCACCCGGCTACAAAGCCCGCCGAATCACCCGTTGATCCAAATCCGGCCCGCTCCCAGGCTTTGGCAGCGGGGCTTTGCTGCCGCGCGGCGCTTCCCCTTCGCGATCGGGGCTTTGTTTTGGTAGCGACGGCGGCGCATCGCGGCGTTATTTTGATTTTCTATCGCTCCCCCGGCCGCACTGCTTGGCGTGTCTCAGCGAGCACGGCATTAGCATTGCAAATGCGCCTCCCCCTAACCAAGATGAGTCGGCGATAGCTGTATCGCCGGAGCGTCCCCTCCATGGCGCGCGCGCCTCGCCTCCTCTGGCCGCCCGCAGCCTTCCGAGACAATCAATAAAAGAAGCATAAAATAGCAGCGGCCATGTTAAGTGGGCACGTGGCGCTGTCATTAGAGTTCCGAGGCGGAGCGCGGACTGTTTCAGTCTGCAGTCAAGTCGAGACGCTGGGCACCTCTCCCGCGCTCTCCGCACCCGGTCCTAGCTGGAACGGAACAGGTGGCTGATGTCGGTGGTAGTGGCGATTGCCCGGTGGTCACGCTCCTCGCATCTTCCAATTCTAATCTTAAGCATCGGTTTTAAGCAACAGTTTGTGTTTAAGTTTTATGGAAGAATACGAAACATTTCTTTTTTACCATTATGTGCCGCGACAGCACTGCAACATTTCATGTTAGTAGTGTTGCGATACGAAAATAGCAATTAAGATGCAAGACATTACTAAGCCTGTTTTAATGCCGCATTTATACATTTTAAACCTGAAATTGCATTTAGCCCCAATAATTCTGCCATAAAACGTTTTTCAAACACTTACTCCGAATGGTTCACATGAATGAATTTGGCTGGGAGCACCTACTGAGCCAACTTGTGCCTATCGTCAGTGCGCCATCCAGGTTGTGCCACTCAGACCAACCGATGATTTCGCCGGAGGCGAGAATATGTGGTTTTCCGCCAGGCAGGACTGAGCCTACCGCGCGCGCAATACCGCGCAATGCTGCGGCACGGCAGCTCCTGGGTCGACTAACGTTGGCTAGCAGACGCTGACTCACGTGGCCGTTACGCTACGTTGTCTAGCAGGCCTTCTGTACAAGTCGCTGACCAAACGGCCTGGTGA